CATCAGGTCGATTCCAACTCATAACGAGCCCATAGGGTTTTCAAGGCTGTAAAAGCAGACTGCCACATCTTCTCCCTCGAAGCCACTGGTGGTTTCAAACTGCCGACTTTTCAGTGAGCAGTCAGGAGTAAGGTGGCCCTAAACCTAATCACTCCTGAATGGAGCAGAATAGACACAGAGACACACACAGGAGAAGACAGACGCCATGTGAGGATCTGTCTACACCAAGGATTGCCAGCAGACACCAGAAATTAGGAGGCTCACAGAAAGAATCGACACTGAGAATATAAACTTCTGTTATTGAAAGCCACCCACTTGTGGTATGTTTTGTTAAGGCAGTACTAGGTAACTATGACAAGTTCTCAGGAAGCAGAAACTAAGATGAATTTTGGAGGCAGGATGTTTAACAGAGACCAATACTTGTGGAAGAAAGCGGGAGGAAGCAGGATAGGGCAGAGGAAGGAACAAACTCATCAGGACATGTCCCTCCTGCACTGGGCCAAAATGGCTGGGCCTATATACCCTACCTCGCCCAGTCGCGGGATTCAGGCTTTCCCAGTAAGGGCAGACTCTGAAGGACTGTCAGCTGGAGGCTATTTGTGTGACATTCCCTACAACTGGGCAGCAAGTCCGTCCTTGAAGGCAGATCTGGGCAGAGCATCTCTGTGTTCATTCTGACATCTTGCATTCTTGCCCAGCCCCCTTTCCCCATCTTTCACCCCTGCCTACTGCCCACCTCACTGCCCTGCCACTCCCTGCTGCGACTCTCTACTGTGAGCCTTCAAATGCTTTCATGCTCACTGTGACCCCTTCCCCATCATCTTTCAGATTACCAATATGCACAGAGATAACCTCCCCTACCAATATGCACAGAGATAACCTCCCCCACCAATATGCACAGAGATAACCTCCCCCACCAATATGCACAGAGATAACCTCCCCCACCAATATGCACAGAGATAACCTCCGCCACCAATATGCACAGAGATAACCTCCCCCATGCGGAAAAGTCAAGAGTCAGGAACAAACCAACAGAGTACTACTGCTGAGAGTGTGAAATTTACTTCCCTCAAGAAACTTGTTAGGACCAGGAACTCAGCCTTGTTAGGGCCTATACCCATTTGGGTCTTGCAGGAAAATAAACCCCTGCAGGTGGTTCAGATGAAGAGACTATTGAAGGGACTACTCACAGAGGAAGGAGCACTGGTGGTGCAGTGGTTAGGCGCTCAGCTACTAACCAAAAGGTCGGCGGTTCAAACACACCAGTCACTCTGTAAGAGAAAGATGTGGCAGCCTGCATGTGTAAAGACTACAGCCTTGGAAGTCCCATGAGGCAGTTCTGCTCTGTCCTATAGGGCTGCTGTGAGTTGAAATTGACTCAGTGGCAATGGGTTTGGTTTGGGTTTATTCACAGAGTTGAGACCCTCGGAGCCTAGCAATAGTGGAAAGCCATTATCACTCTTAGGCCTGAGGGACAAAGGAACAAAATAGTGTTACAGGAGCCCAGCAAGTGCCAAAACTATGAGGGAGCTGGGGGAGGGAGAGAATTCTCCTGGTGGGAGCTGTGGTGGGGAGGATCAAAGCTACCGCCAGTCTCAGAAGCAAGTAAGAAACACTTCTCTCACTTCTCGTCCTCCCATCTCCTGCTGGTACTCCCATTGACCAAACTCAACTGGAAGTCAGCAGGCAAGGGATCCCACGTGATACAGAACACAAAGGTCAGCCTCTCAATGGCTTCAAGGGGCAGAGAATGTTGGAGAATGGCTCTGAAAACCAGCCAACACAGCTTTGTAGACCAAAATTCTTCTTTCCTTGGAACGCTTAGAGGTTTGCTGCATTAGTTGCTTTGCTTTCTCCCATACATTGTCACAACTCAAAGTCCCTTCAGGAGGAAATAGTAGGAGAGGGGACCCCAAACCAAGTTACCCATGCCTCCTGTCCTATAGGGTTTGTGGGTTTTTGTTTTCTGTTTGTTGGTTGGTTTTTTGGGTTTTTTTTTTTTTTTTTTTTCAGAATTTCCATGACAGTATTACCCCATGCAAAACGTTCTAATACAACGTGTTATATTTCCACAATACTCCAATCACTGAAAGAATCTAGTCATTAAAATGGGCATGTAGTGAGCATCCCAAGGCTAGTCAGGGCAGCCAGACCCTTGTCTGGTGACTTAAGTCCTTGCCCTCTTGGACAGGTTGTGGAAGGAATGGCAGCTGCCGGGAAAACTCTGTTTTGCAGGCGGAACATTTTTCAGGCCCACATGCTGGAACGTTTCCCACCTGGTGTTGACTTATCCCTGCCCTCCGGAACATTCATTCATCTGTTTACGGCATCTGCAGGCCCAGCACCTGCCAGGTGCACGGAGGTAAATAGCACAGGGGTCCTTTGACTCTGGCAGCATTCCTTCGGGAAACTCGAAGAACTCATCCCTTGTGTGCTTTTTCTCCATCTCCCCAACCAAGGAGGACTTTGTTCCTGTCTTCAGTTTTCTCTGGAACACCATGCCCTGAACTCATTAGTTGTAAGGCCTTTTTGTAAAGTGAAAAAAAAAATTAAGTATCTTGGCCAGGAGCCCTTCTAGGTCACCTTGACCTTCTTGTTCATTGACTCGGATACAGGGCCTCTCCTCCACTGTCTTAGGATCCAATGGGAGTGGTGAAGCCCAGAGGACCCACTGTGGGTGGAGAGAACCCTGAGGAGCTGTGGGAGAGCGCAGCCCACTCCCACCTCTCACCCCACACCTCGGCCAGATGACCCCGGGTGGGACGGGTGGCTCCCTGCAGCTGCTGACAAACAGGAAGTTCTAGAGAAATGCTCAGTGGTGTGCTGAGGAGGTGCAGGCCCAGAAATGGCAGCTGGGAGAAGACTCTGTGTGCCCTGGGGTAGTTGATGCAAGTTGGACATAGCCTGGGGCTCAGCTATCAGAGTCACCCAAAGGTTCTGTCCTTTGAGACCAGACACAGCAGCAACCTGAAAACTCGGCCTCACTAGCTTTGCAATCTAAGCACTCCCTCTCCAGGCCCGCTCTGGGGCAAGGGTCCAAATGGGGCAGGTCTGAATTCTAACCTCTAGGAGCACTGGGTCTGGGTTAGCAGACTGGTCGGCCAGGAAGATGAGTGAGGGAGCGGGCTATTTTGCTTCCACAGAGCCTACCTCTCCTTACTTCTTGATCTACGAAGCCATCCACCCTCTCTCCAACCTTTCA